CTGGGTTTGAACCTGCCACCTCTGGCATATGAGGCCAGGGCCTTACTCCTTTGAGCCACAGGCACCACCCAAGGATTATGGCCTTAGGAAGGTTGAGAAACACTGCTCTAGACCAGATAAGCAGAACTAGTGTTGATTAACAACTCTAGCCTGGGATTTTAAAATAAATGCTTGGGGTTGGGACATGGTGGCTCATGCCTATAATCCTAGCACCCTGGGAGGCTGGGCGGATAGCTTGAACTTGGGGAGTTCAAAACCAGCTGAGCAAGATCAAGACCCTGTCTCTAAAAAGAAATAGCTAGCCATTGTGGCAGGCACCTATAGTCCCAGCTACTCAGGAGGCTGAGGCAAGAAAATCATTTGATCCCAAGATTTGGAGTTTGCTGTGAGCTATGACGCCATGGTACTCTACCAAGGGCAACAAGGTAAGACTCTGTCTAAAATAAATAAAGTAAATACCTGGCCAAACATATATGCAAATGCTTGGCAAATAGCTATTACCTGAATAGAGACTAGAATTAAGTTTTATCTCTTTTACACTTCTAATAAGCACTACAGTAATTAACCTAAGGGATTTAAGGTGACAGCCATTAGCAGTAGACTCCAGTGCCAGTTTAGTAAGTTGTGTGAATTAATATTCTCCAAAGCTTGTGTTACTTTCTTAAGCTTTCCTGTTTTTCTAAGACGGGGATTATTATCATGCTGTTTCTTTTGCCTAAGGGTAAAAATATTTTTTTCTCCTTAGTCCATGTGATGGTATTTCTTTGCATTTCTATAGGAGGAGGAACTGCGCAAAGGTGGAGACCCCAAATATGCCCACTTGAATATGGATCTACATGTCTTCATCGAAGTCTTTGGACCCCCATGTGAGGCTTATGCTCTTATGGCCCATGCCATGGAAGAAGTAAAGAAGTTTTTAGTACCAGTAAGGAAATTCATATTTTGTTGTTTTCTGAGCAAGGTTAGAATTGGGAACTTACACTGTTGCAAAGGGAGGGGTTCTTAATCAGGGTTTCTGCATAACCTGTAATTGCATTCCAGATCCTACATTTACATTCATTTTTCTGAGATGGTCTATCACTTGTAACTAGTTCTCAAAGCACCATGCTCCAAGACCACTCTATCTCTCCTTATCTAATACGGTTTTATTGTGTACCAATGTCTATTGCCAGTTTCTTGGATTCTAATATGTCTGCTTTCTAATAACCTGATTAGGAGAGCTATAACAGGATGTTGACCAGGCTGGGTATTTTGGTACTAGTGTGGAATCAGGAGATTGTGTTAGGAAAATGACTAAGGTTATCTCCTGCACTCAAGGGGTTTATGCTATAGAGCGTCTGATAACAACATCCTTATAGCACTCAGTGTTTGTTTGTTTTGAGACAGAGCCTCAAGCTGTCGCCCTGGGTAGTAGAGTGCTGAGGCGTCACAGCTCACAGCAACCTCCAACTCCTGGGCTCAAGTGATTCTCTTGCCTCAGCCTCCCAAGTAGCTGGGACTACAGGTGCCCGCTACAACACCCAGCTATTTTTTGGTTGGAGCCGTCATTTGGCGGGCCCGGGCTGGATTCGAACCCGCCAGCTCAGGTGTATGTGGCTGGCGCCTTAGTCACTTGAGCCACAGGCGCCGAGCCATTACTCAGTGTTAATGGATAAATTCTGACCTGAGTGTACTCACGGCTTTCTCTCCTGGAGGAGTTTGCTCAAGTAGAGTTTGGTTTGGAATAAGGGTGATTGTTGGAGGCTTAGCAGTTGATGATACAAAACTCACTGGTGTGCAGATCCTTTCTGACTGGAACTGAGGCCCAGGAACAATGGGAAAGGCCAGATTATCTGTCTTGGTGCTTACCACCTAGTCAGATTATTATTTTAAATAAATAGGTAATAGTGCTATTTTATTAAGATAATATTGTTGAATATTTAATATCAAGGATGAATCTGAAACCTAAGGAAGGATTTGAAGTATTATTCAGGTAGAATTGAATAAGCATTGTGTTTTTATCCTGGAACTAAGATGAGATGAGTCCTTGGTTTTCTTGAATGTAAAATGAGAAAGTTGAATCTAAATGTGCTATCAGGCTCGGCGCCTGTGGCTCAAGCGGCTAAGGCGCCAGCCACATACACCTAAGGTGGCGGGTTCGAATCCCCAGCC